ATGCAGCGGTCAGTCATGCAGCGGTCAGTCATGCAGCGGTCACTCTTCCAAACACAGATTAAAGTGAGAAATCAAATACCTTGAACTCAGTTGGAACGATTAGTTTGGGTGTTTCTAACCCCATCAACATATCCAGACCCACAAAGGACATGATTGACATGAAGATGGCAAAATCACTGATTAGCTTCCTCAGCTGAGACAAAAGGGAGGAGGGGGAGAGGAGTAGTATGACGGAGAGGAGGGGAGACAAATATACGCAAAAGTACAAGAAAAAGGTGCGTACATGAGGAAATGAAGATAGAAAAAAAGAGATATTAATCCTTTCATTTATAAACCAAACGACTGATTAGCAATCCATGAAAACTTCCTCTGGGAAAGAAATACTTCCAAGCAGGGACGTAAAACACAGTTCAGGGGAAGGTAAAAAGAGGTATTCAGGGAAAAGTGGACCTTGATCTCAGTGGGCACGTGCAGTTTGGGGGTGTCCAGCTCCATCAGGTGATCCAACCCACAGAAGACCAGGATGGAGATGATGATGGAGAAATCACTGATCAGGGAACGGAGCTGGAGCACATTCAGGGAGAGCAGAGGAGAATATGGGAGAACATGGGAGAACATGGGAGAACATGGGGGAGGACATGGGAGGACATAGGAGAACATGGGAGGACATGGGGGAACATGGGGGAGGACATGGGAGGACATGGGGGAACATGGGGGGACATGGGCGAACATGGGAGAACATGGGAGGACATGGGAGAACATGGGAGGACATGGGGGAACATGGGGGAGGACATGGAAGGACATGGGGGAACATGGGGGGACATGGGAGAACATGGGAGAACATGGGAGGACATGGGAGAACATGGGAGGACATGGTGGAACATGGGGGAACATGGGAGGACATGGGGGAACATGGGAGGACATGGGAGGACATCGGAGAACATGGGAGAACATGGGAGAACATGGGGGAGGACATGCTGGTACGGATATAAAAGGTTTTTTTGGGTAGAGGTTTGGATAAGGAGACGGACGGGATGAAGCTCCAATCGCCATATTCTTAAATAAAAGCTGCTGATATCTGGTGCAGATATTCAGCAGCTTTGAAGGAAAAAGCTGATGGATTTCTAGATTATTTTCATCATCTGAAGAAAACTGTAGCTTTTAGCAAATATTACTTATAAATAGTGCATTTGTTGGGACTATTTTGAGTGTGAATTGATACACACGTACACATGGCGACACGTGGAATTGAGGACTTTATATTTACTGCTAACTAGCATTTGAAGCTAACACTCACACACAATGTCAATAAGAAAAACAAGGAGTTTCTACAGCCGCCTCCTTTAAACTGAGCTGCTCTCGTTCTTTACTAAAGGAGTCGAGCGTGTCACATGCAGGTGGACTTGCAGGGAGTCAATAACAGCATGCTGGGAAGTATTAGGAGGAGTCTCACCTTTGTCGGGAAGTAGCGGCTGAACTTGAACTTCTTGAGAGAAACGGTCATGGAGTAGGTGCCGAAGAAGAGGATGAAGGACATGAGGGCCAGGTCAGGAACATACTTACAGGAGTTGCCCACCAGCATACCGCCGAACTTCATGCACTCTTTCTTACTCAGCTGACTCCAGTCCAGGCCGGTCAAGTTAAACTACAGAAGACAGGACAAGGGGGGGGGGGGGTGAAGACAGAGAAGGACAAAAAATGAAGGACGGGTTCGGGAGTGGAGGAAGAAATGAAAGAGAGAAAAGAGAAGCGATAACAGAAGAAAGAGACTTCTTTATATTGAGAAACGAATCACGATATGAGGAAGAGGTACTGGTGTGTTTCAGGAGGATCTGTGTTTGTTTCCCTGGGTTTCTGTACTCCAGTTCAAGGTTTCCTGAGATGCTTTTAGGGCGTCTTTCCTTAAATGTTTTAGCTGCTGGCACGAGTTCAGCTCAAGACGTTTTGGTTCTGTAAGTTTGTAAATCAAGAAACAAAGAGTCTTAAAGTCTTTATATATAAATGACTTCCGGCTTCAGTTAATCCTGCGTGAAGTTGTGCACGCGGCACAAGATCGATCAAACTTTTCATTTATTACTTCTGAAATTGTTGGTTCTGCCAGAATCATCAAAGTTACTCAGCTTACGTTTCCCTTCGACGTCGGCTTCAGAAGAAAGAGTTCCTGCTCACGACACAAAGCACCAGAACACCTTTAAATGATCTCCTGACTGATATCTCTGCCTGAACACCAGCTGCTGTCCGCTCTGAACTGGTCAGGACACCTCTGCGGTTTTCCTAAATGTCAGCTGACAAAAGACGCAGCTCCTAAATTAAGAGAGCTGATAAAATACTTTTACTTCTGCGCCTCAAAGTTGGAGCAAAAATGTGTAATTAAGACATTTTTTCTCCCTCGTTAGGACTGATTTCCTAACCTGAGATGCTTCTTAAATATGAGTTTCTGTCCAGTAAAGCTTGAGTCATCGTGAAATCACAACAAACTGTTTCAAATCCCTCAAAATAAACTGGAGCTGCATCTCAGTGACTTCTGTCTTTTCCCTTCCAGAGAAACAGGAAAGGTTCCGGTGAGACAGGTTTCCGGTCTTTTGTCACTTACCAGCAGAGTCATGTTGTCGTCTGAGGCTGGAGCTGAAACATTGAAGGCCAGAGCTGAGGAGCACAAGAGGGGACACAATGAATGATGGGTAATAATAACCCAGTGTAGTGTTTGATATGAAGTCATCAGGATTAATTAAAGAATATATAAGAGAAAATCCATAAGGACATGAAGGAATGCTCTAAAATATTCAGATGTTTGGTGTTAAAGGAATATTTCTTCAAATCTTGTGTATCAGATGATCTCTGCAGGCGGGAAATTCTGCCTCTGAAAAGTCTGCAGCTTACAGAGGATCCCAAAAGTTCATTCCCAAATATAGTATTACTGTGAAAGAGCCACCGTGACCACACAATATTCTGCCAACGTTGGTTAGTTTTGGTTGTTTTACACAAAAGACTTATATATTTTGTCGTAGGTTTGTTAATATGTGCGTCAAACACAGTACACATGCACAGTCCTGAGCTAAACTTAGCATGTTACATTCTAGCCAGAGAGAAATACTGAATCCAGTGTCGACATACTCACTTTGTCAGACAGCATCCAAAAATGAGGCAGAAACAGACGAGATACGCACATCATCAGAGGAAACACCAAATATGTGCAACTAATTACATTCAAATATTAAACACACAGTATTAATGTTTCCTGTTCATTTCCTAAATCATGTTGACGATGATTTAAAGAACCAAAAAATACATAAAACATTTTGTGTCATTAAAAAAACAGGAGTGAAAATTCTCACATTTCTCACATCCAGGACGTGGTTAGCCTAGCTTAGCATAAAGACAAGCAGGGGGAAACAGCAGTTCTATTTGCTCCCTTTTTTCTTTTGTGCTGATCCGAACCGTGAGTTTCGTGATCCGTTGCTCCGCTAGACATTAAATAGATGCATCTTCTCACCTCACTCTCAAAAACAAACCAAATTCAGCTCAAATGTTTAATTTACCGAATCATTCAGTTACTACAGTCGCCACTTATGAACTTTGTAGGCGAGAAAAAAGTAAAAGTTTGAAGACTCACCCTGGTCTGGTGCGATGCAGTCACACCTGTAGGAGGTGACGTAATCAGGCTTGAAGCCGCGGTTGATTGGGTAATACTTCCAGGCTCCTACCTGTGAAAAACAAAACAGCTGTTATATTCCTTCTGAACATTTTGGTGTTTTAGTCCCGCCTTCAAATGTCACCTACCATCTTCTTAATGGCGTCAGAGATGAATATGAAGGAGATGAGGCTGGAGAAGCCCTCCTCTGTGAAACGGGTCATGTACTTGATGATGTAGCTGGCGTCCGAGAGCACCAGCACGAAACACTGGAGACACGAGTGAAGGCCGATCCACAGACGCAGCTCCATGTAGTCGATCTCGTTGCTCCTGTTGAGACAGAGTGTTGATGTCACCATATGCCATCTTTATGTAACTTCACTAGTTTGAAGCAAAGAAAGTGCTCACACCACCTCATATGTGTTTTTACTGTTCACATGTCCGTGCCTTTACTTACTTGGTGAATTCATAAAGCAGTTTCTCAAAGATGAGAATGGGTCCAGTTGAACTGAGGATGATGAGAGGCTGTCCCCCGAAAACACAGAAGACGGTCCCTGCTAGAGCAGTGCCGAGGAAACTCTCCATCACTCCCTTTGAAAAGAGAAAGAGAGACGTCAATCAACCTGACGTCACACTCTGTCAGATGAGACGCCGGCTGGGCACTTTAGTTTTTTCTTTGATAAAAAGACCTGGTAGTTGTCGGTGGCGTCCCCCAACAGTCCTCCGAAGGTGATGGCGTTGGTGATGCAGCCCAGGTAGATGAAGAGCACGGCAGAGATGGACTGGATATGGAAGCCATCGTAGATGTCGCTGCAGAACCACGGGATCTTCCGTTTGATGTCGAGCCACAATCCACCTCCGAACCTATCAGAACCAGGTCGAGCACATCGTCAGAAAGAGACCTTCCAAACTGTCGATCGCATCATCGTGTTGCGCATGTGTGTTAATCTGATCGGCACATAATCGGCCAATGAAGATGAAAATTGTCCGATTCCAGCGGGCTGATCGATCGGAGCATGTCTAGTTACAGAACCTGGATTAAAAATGGACGCTGGGATATACGATATAGTCCTTTTCTCACCTCCCAGTGAATTTCAGCTCCTCTCCGAGCTCATGTGGAGCCGGAAACTCCTCGTCTTCTCCTCCAGCGGCGCCGCCGGCCGAGCCGTTCATCTGACCCAGCTCGTTCAGGTTCAGCACCGACTTCCTGCGGGAAACACGGAGAAGGACACGGCTGACTTGAAGTATTTGTAGTTTTGGAGACGTGGACATTTAAGTGGCTATAATCAATAAAAAGTCACTGTTTACTACCTGACACATGGAGAGACTAACTGCTGAACATAGTGGAGCATTTAGCAGCTAAAGAGACATTTTTATCAGGAGGTGGAGGAGACCAAAAACGGAGCAAAAAGAGAGAATATTGGACGTACTTCTGCTGGATGTAGAAAAAAAGAAACAATTTGCTAACAAGTTAAACATATCAACTTGTTTCTGCTTCCCCCAAGCGGTCAAAAATAATCTCTTTCTACAAGTTTAAATATGGTTAAGTATGGTTAAGTGTACATGCCTCATTTCTGCCGATGGAACCTTCTTGGGAGGTTCGATGCGTATTTTGGGGTCCCATTCCCCTGGAGGAAGGACGATCACCTCGTCCAGAAACTCGTCCACTCCCGCAATCAGGTCTTCGCGGTCCCTGGCTTTGTAGGCGACGTCACTGAACAGCTGACAGGAAGTGAAGAAGATTTAAAATCATATGTCATGTGCGAATGAGTTCGGTCCATCGGTGGCGGGACAGTGGCCGTCACACTTACGTCGTCCACCATGAGCGTAGCGATAGCTCGGCCGATCTCATTGTAGGACTTGGCTTTGCCATGTGGGCCCAGCAAGATGAAGAGGAACCTGCCAGAACAGAAGGTTAAGAGACGATTAAACGCAAAGAGACAGACGACGTTTACATGCACACTCTGTTTCCACTTTTATTCAGAATATAATATTTTGAATTTGAAGTGGTTCCGAATGGATCATTTTCATGACTAGAACATGTGTGATATGTTGATATTGTTCAGGTTCTAGGATTATTCTTTGGACATGTATACAGCTCATCTACTATCAGACGTAAAAAACCTCTCTCTCGCTCTCTGTGGGTCGAACACAAACCAACCAGCCAACAGTTAGTAAAGCTGGAGTAGAGATGACGTCCAGAAGAACAGAAGGAGAAACATCATGAAGGACTTGGACATCAACAGGTTTCTGGATATGAACAAATATATTTTAGAAGCTGTTTGAAGGAATGAAAGAGGTCCAACAAGTCCTCCACCTCTGGAACACGCTGAGGAAACATGTTAGCTCCCGATGTTCACTTTGACGTATTTAGGGATAATTGGTGCATGTAAAGGTAGTCACACACTCTGCGAGAGATTAAAGAGGACACATAAGACACACTCACCTGGTCGGCACAGGGACCTCGGTGAGGCCCCCCAGAGTCGTGGCCTGAGCCAAACGCACGAAGGAGACGAAGGGTTTGTCCAAAAAATCCACCTCACCGATCAAGACGTTGGAAGCTTCGGCATCACGAGGAATCTTCTTCATGAACTTGTTCTTCAGCTGGAAGAGGGAGGGAGAGAGAGAGAGAGAGAGAGAGAGAGAGAGACAGAGAGAGAGAGAGAGAGAGAGAGAGAGAGAGACAGAGAGATGCCATGATCAATTGGCTTACATAATGTGCTGATCAAATCATGTGAGTAGTTACTCGTTACAGAATAGATTTTAGATAACTACATTAAAAGACATCGCTGCTTTCTGTTACACATGATTTCTTTCACGTTAACTTCTAGCAGGAAGCTCACTGAAACCGTCTCAATGTCCCCGTCCTCCTGAGTCTTGACAAATATTAGATGGATTTGTCATGAAATTTGATACAACTATTCAAGGTACCCAGAGGATGAATCCTAATAACTTTTGTGATCATCTGACTAATTATTTAGAGCATATTAACATGTTGTATGGATTGTCGGGCTGGGCGATGATTCCGTATGATAACTTATCGTCTTTCAATGGAATCATATTGTGATGAAATCATATAGACATTGTTATACAGAATTACTTTATCTAGTGCACTTCTTATTACTTTAACAAGTGCACACTAACTTAAAATTCTCAGAAAATCTGATCAAAATGAGTGGAAACTGGTGGTGTAATGGACCGTACTGATCCCCTTCATGGTTGTGAACCCCATTAATTCCACAGTTTACCATTAACCATCAGAGTGTAAATAAAGTTTAACGTTAACCATCAGAGTGT